TGTGAGACACTTTTTTTTAATGGATGGGCGCTTTTTTTATTTAACTTCTTTTGGACTGATGCATGCAACACCCGCTGAGTGGCATTAAACAGCTTGAAAGATCAAAAACAATTTTTAATATAACTCCGACTGGATTCGTCTGAAAGAAGAAAGTCATATACACCTAGGATGGCTCTGGGGTGAGTAAAACACAGCCTAATTTTCATTTTTGGGTGAACTAACCCTTTAAATATCAGGAAAAGTATTGGTAAAATGATTATCAGTCGATCTCGGGTTATACTCACTGACAGACCACAGCTGCGCTTCAGCTAAGACTGGATCCCATGCTAGCCATGCTGCACCTTGTTCCTTGTCTTCAGAGAACAGTGTTGCATATATAGCTTCACATTTTCCAAACATGCTCATTAGAGGAGAGACAAAGTCATTAAGGCCCTACCATTAAGACGCCGAGGGACCACCAGTCAGCGCTCTGCGTGTGACCTCTTCTGTTGACCACCTCAGGGGACATATACTCCACAGTGCCACAGAACGAGTACGCTTTTTTGTCCTGATCTACCGATTCTTTACTGAGCCCAAAGTCTGGAAAAGGCACAGCAGCACATCTGTCATATCTGCATCACGAAGCTAAACCAGGGGTGTCCAACTCTGCTCCCGGAGTCACTGTCCTGCAGAGTTTATCGAGGATTACGTGAAAACTACAGGCAGGAGCCATCGGCCCTCCAGCAGCAGAGCTTGACAAACAACCCCATCATGACACAAACACACCACACATGACTCAATCATTTTAGAGAATTCAGGGTGAGATGCTAACAATAGATGTCAAACATTACAGAATTGCCTGATATCTACATGCACTAGTTCAACAGGCAGGGAAATGATGTGTAATAAGGGGACAACGGTACGTACCTGTTAACTTGATATGTCCAGCTTCATCAAGCAAAATGCTGAAAATTAAGACCACATTTCTCCAATACAGATACAAAAATACATGAACTAAACAAGAGTCAACAAACAACATCCAAAACCTCTCGATTACAATCTTGAACATTGGTTCTGTCAGATATATCCATCCTTATTTAATAAAAGATCAAAAGGAGAGGGCAGGTGAAAGCCAGAGACGGAGACAGAGAGAGAGTGGTTTCTACTCTACACACAGAGAGAGAAGCGGAGAGGTGAAGGGGGATACTTTACTTTTCAGGCTTCAGGTCTCTGTAAACAATGCCTAGGTTGTGTAGATGATCCAATGCAAGGGCCAGCTCTGCAAGGTAGAATTTCACATCCTCCTCTGTAAACATAACCTAGTAAGAACTGGACAGATTTACTCTCGCATCAAAGATCACACACAACAGCATAATGCACAGCATCATCATGACAAAGATGAAAAGGTTCTGAATGTCGTGTTTATATGAAAGCCTAAACGATTCACATGTACATTCATTTACAGGTAAATTATATGTATTCTGAACAAAACTTCAGCTCATGCACAGTGCCCAGTTGCCACGTTCAGAAATTGTGGTATTGTATACAATGGATTATTTGTATAATTTTTTTTAAATATATCACATTTTACAGATTTTACAAACTGAGAAATGTTTACATACACCGTCATAACAGTACTGCTTTCTGAGTTTATAAGCGTCACATTTACACAGTCACTGGGCTTAAGTGATGCTGAAAACTTCAGCAAACAGTCTGGAATGTGCACATTTCACCAAAATCGGCTCAAATGATCATTGAACAGAGCTGCATACAGCGCTGACCAAACCAAGATGAACTTTGGTTTACTCTATTACAAAGCTACATCTTGTGAGACAACCCCATAACTATCACTCAGAAGGTTTCTCCAAGAGTCTTACCATAGTGCAACCTCACAATGAAAGGATGATTGACCTCCACCAGAATATCTCTCTCCATCTTAGTGCGAACTCTGTCCCTCACTGCAACACAGCACACACAAATGATAAAATAAACGCGAGTATATCATCACAGAAACGTGTTGGCACTAATGCAGACACTCACTGACCTTTTAAAGATGCCTTTTTGAGCACCTTCATTGCATAAAGTTGACCGGCATCTGGACCCATTAACTTCCGCACCAAAAACAAGTCAACTTGAAAATGTAACTACAACATGATTCAAGTAACTTTTTCTTTATTAACCCTCTAGTTAAAGAAAATTCTATTCCAAGTGCAGCACACATGAAGATGTCAACATGATGTAAATGTTAAACAAATCACTTGTTAAATATTTTTGCAGAAAAGATGCATGAACTACAACTACATCTTGTACAAACTTGACTTATACATATTATATGTTCAGAAATAATACAAGGAATATGCTTTAAAAAAAATCTCAAAAGTCAAGGTGATTCAAGGTGACTGAAGGTATAACACCAGTAGACTATTATTAAAGGCAGGGTATGTGATTTTTCAAAAACACTTTAGAAAACTGATTCGGGCCGAATCGCAAAACAAACTTGTAGCCAATCAGCAATAAGGGGCGTGTCTACTCGTGATGTGGAGGAGAGAGCTTTCAGTGCATGGGACGGACATTAGCCGAGCCGAGCGACAGAAAGATAGAGATGGCGGATAAAAAACAAAAGAGGAAAACGTCTGCGGAAGGATAAGGCAAGAAGTAGGACCCGTGTAAATATCGGATCAGCTTTCCAGCGCTGGAGAGAACTCAAGGAGCGGAGGCCTGCGATCGGACGCCGAGGTTGCTTTTGTTTCTTCTCAATAGGTGAGTAACACCGTGTCTACAACAGCTAAAGTCTGCCTACACTGGACGCGATCAAACGACCGTTGAAAACCATTTGAAATTTGTGTCAGCACGTCATAAATAGAACCCGGCAGCAGTTTTCTGTCGGGATTTGTTGCGCCGCGCCGCTCACGTCCGTAGACACGGTGTAACATTGGTTTTGCTTTGTTTCACAGAACTAATTGTTGCCTGGGTTGCGTACGTATATGTGGGGCGGAGCTATCAAAATAGGGGCAAGACCCTTTTGGGGTAGGGGCGTGTTTGTTTCGGTGATTTCAAATATCAACATTGGCTACCAGAAATCACTTACTCTGCCTTTAACTGTAAATGTTCTGTAAAATCAACAGCACCATGATGCAAACATGAAATATCAGACATACAGTAGTAGTCCTTTACAGGCTTTTATTCGATTGTGCTGCTTTTCCATTGTTTTTCTATGTGAACATGGACGCGTTTGACTGTTGCGCTTGTGTCTCTTGCAGCATCTCAAGCATGAAACGGCTTTCTAAAAATGCAGTGCTCAAGTTAAAAGAAGAAGTTAAACACCCATCTTCCTGCATTTTTTCCTATTCCACTGCCCACGTCGCATCTCTGTCAACACAAAAGCGCATTCTGTGTGAATGGCTTCTTATGGTCCTTCACAGTTAATCACGTGCGCCGACATGCCGTTGGATCATTCTTTTCTCTTTACTCTTAACATTGGCATATTGTCTAATTCTAACGTTTGGTAATACTTCTATTCAAAATCGTGATTCCCCGATTTATAAAGAATTTAATCGTGGCAAAACATTAAATTCGAATTAATCGATAAAATCAGAAAAATCGCCCAGCCCTAAATCCAGGGTATTCTACAGCAGTTCATCTGATAAAAGTGCACACCAAACATGCGGACAGAGACCCATCATTTCCGGGGGTCTCAGACCACTTCCATTATGTTATCATTACTAACTTGTTTAATATTCAGTCCACATGCATGAAGTGTAAAACGAGAAGGGCATAACCTTACGAAAACATAAAACAGGCAAAAATCGCGGTTGCTGCGGTTCTTGCATTCCTCTGCGGTTTGCTCGTCAATAGCGCGGTATTGCGATATTGCGGTTATCGCGACAGCCCTACTGGGCAAAGAACTCATTCAAATGTACATCTGAAGAACCAGGGGAATTCCAGATGACACACGTTTGAAGATATCACTCTCAGACATACTCTGCTTCTCTCTCAACTAGTGTTGTCAAAAGACCCGGTATTTCGGTACCAAGTCTTTTGCTTTGGTACCGAGAACCGTGGATTTTTACTCGTATTGATACCGAATACTGACATTTTGGTACCGTGACAACACTACTCTCAACCTTTCGTTGGAGACATATACAACACAGATCATATTAGCATTATGCTAACGCTAAAACCGCATTGTTAACATCCGTTTAGAACAATAACGATGTTCTGAAGAGTATTTGTTTCCAGATGTACTATAAT